CAGCGTTGTGATTGGCTGTCTTTATGATTAAAATGTCCAATTTAGAACTGCCATTTAAAAAAAAAATCAAACCGTTCAGTATTTTCCAGTTCTGCATTAATTTCATCGAGATAATTCAAATATTCAAGGAAAAAAAATACAGTTCCTTCTCTACCTAGCGTATAGTCCGTATTTTCAAATGCGCGTACCACTGCCATCAATTTTTCTCTAAAAGATTTGAGTATTTTTTACTGGCAGGAGAATTTTTATAACTTAGCACCGACACTACTCAAAGAAAAAGCAGTTTTTGCTCTCAGTTTTTCGAAATTATTTCTTACGGCCCATATTTATTTTGCTTCATTCATGTTTCTCATTAGCTGCGCTCGATTTGTACGAACATCCCAGTGACATCACTAAATGGGATACCCACATCGATTACTCAGGTGACCTCGATATTTTTATTGCACATTAATAAAAGTCATTCATCGGCACCCATCCCACAGTTATCCCAAAAAACTCAAGCTCCAGTTGCGAGGTTGATGCCGATTTTATTATAGAAGAATGTGTTCATGTGCAGTCCTTGCCATTTCAACCAGTCCGGATTTTCTGTTGCCAGCTGTGACTTATTTCGTGCAAATTTATTATTAAATATCGTAACTGTGGCCACTTTTTTAATGAAAAATTCTCCATTTCATGCAGGGGCCGTCACGAGTGTTGCTAAATTCTAACAGAGTGACTCCCTTTTTCATACTTTGTTGGCACATTTCATAAATGTGCTAGACTTTAAAATTTTCTTTCACGTTTAATAAAGAATGGGAAATCCACAGTCTCGCCAGCGAGTGGTTGCCGTTGGCATTTGCTACCACTAAAGTCTCTTCTCCAGGGCCTTCTTTTCCTATAAAGAACAAATTCGGAAGAGGTTTTGACCCTTAATATATGTTAATCAGTGCTTCTTCCACCAACTATTCGATGAAAAAAATTTGCTTGTTTCTTTTGATTTGACCTAAACTGGTTAAGAGGACCCATGCGCAGTAGCAAGCTTTCGCTTCAATGATATCTCAACTAACAGCGTGAAAAACAAGAAGTTTCAGTTTCGCGAT